CCACTGAGCTCGGGCAATGGAGCCAAGGCCTGGGGCTGCTTCCTGGGCGGCGCCGTCCCCGGCAACAGGCTGAAGCAGCACAGGAGCCCGCGGAGAACAAAGGGGTGCCACAGGCCAACCTGCTGAGCTCCCAGGACAAGGAGGAAGAAACCAAAGAAGTTCTCAATGTGAAGAAATCAAGTGAGAGCAAAAAATAGTAAAATTACTTAAGAAAGAATACAAAGAAGTTCTTGAAAAAATCAAAGACTAAGTCAGAACTCAACTCACCAGCCAACATTGCAACATAAATGCGTTTTAAAAAGAAAAAAAAAAGGACAGAATGTTGGAACAGCGACGGCCAGGCCTAGAGTGGCCAGGCACAAGGCAGTGGCAGCCAGACCCGGAGCAGCAACGGCCAGGCCCCAGAACAACAGCAGCCAGAACCAGAGCATCAACAGCCAGCACTGGAGTAGCCAGACCTGGGGCAGTGGCAGCCAGGCATGAGGCGGAGGCGGCCAAGCCCAGGGTGGCCAGTCCAGGAACACCCAGACCCGGAGTGGCCAGGCCCGAAGAAGCCGGGCCCAGAGCAGCCGGGGTGGGAGCAGCCAGACCCAGAACAGCAGTAGCCAAGCCCAGAGCATCCAGGTCGGGAGTGGCCAGGCTCGGAGCGGCCGGGCCCGGGGCAGCCGGGCCCAGAGCAGCCGGGTCAGGTGCGGCCAGGCCCGGAGCAGCGGCTGCCAGGCTGGGAGCGGCCAGGCCCGGGGGAGCAGGCGGGGCTGGTGCGGCCAGGCCCGGAGCAGCGGCTGCCAGGCTGGGAGCGGCCAGGCCCGGGGGAACAGGCGGGTCGGGTGCGGCCAGGCCCGGAGCAGCGGCTGCCAGGCTGGGAGCGGCCAGGCCCGGGGGAGCAGGCGGGGCTGGTGCGGCCAGGCCCGGAGCAGCGGCTGCCAGGCTGGGAGCGGCCAGGCCCGGGGGAGCAGGCGGGGCTGGTGCGGCCAGGCCCGGAGCAGCGGCTGCCAGGCTGGGAGCGGCCAGGCCCGGGGGAGCAGGCGGGTCGGGTGCGGCCAGGCCCGGAGCAGCGGCTGCCAGGCTGGGAGCGGCCAGGCCCGGGGGAGCAGGCGGGTCGGGTGCGGCCAGGCCCGGAGCAGCGGCTGCCAGGCTGGGAGCGGCCAGGCCCGGGGGAGCAGGCGGGGCTGGTGCGGCCAGGCCCGGAGCAGCGGCTGCCAGGCTGGGAGCGGCCAGGCCCGGGGGAGCAGGCAGGTCGCGTGCGGCCAGGCCCGGAGCAGCGGCTGCCAGGCTGGGAGCGGCCAGGCCCGGGGGAAAGGCGGGGCTGGTGCGGCCAGGCCCGGAGCAGCGGCTGCCAGGCTGGGAGCGGCCAGGCCCGGGGGAGCAGGCGGGTCGGGTGCGGCCAGGCCCGGAGCAGCGGCTGCCAGGCTGGGAGCGACCAGGCCCGGGGGAGCAGGCGGGGCTGGTGCGGCCAGGCCCGGAGCAGCGGCTGCCAGGCTGGGAGCGGCCAGGCCCGGGGGAGCAGGCGGGGCTGGTGCGGCCAGGCCCGGAGCAGCGGCTGCCAGGCTGGGAGCGGCCAGGCCCGGAGCAGCAGCAGCCAAGTCCAGAGCAACTAGGTCGGGAGCGGCAGTGACCAGACCCGGAGCAGCTGGTTGTGGAATGAACCAGAGCAACAGAGACCAGGCCCTGAGCAGCCAGGCCCAGAACAGCTCGCTCCTTGCCTGCCCCTGCCCCACGGCTGCTTCTCAGACATGGCTGGAAACTTTCGTGGGAACTTGAGGGTCTGCTGAATCAAGTGATGAAGGCTTAGATCTGGATGTGTTGAGTTAGTTTAGGACTGGGTTGTTGATCTGTGAGTGCCTTGGGTGGGGCCTGGATGAGGCTGGTTGACCTAGTGGGAAATGTCTTTTGTGTGAAGTGTATCATTGGGCATGTGGAGGTATTATTGATATGAGAAAATGCTAAGTAACTGATTTACTATCTGAAAAGGGATTTACTATTGGGGAAATTGAGGGCAGAAGAGACTGAACATAAACTGCACCTATGGATGAGGACAATGGGGGATGGGGGGGGGACGGAGGGTGGGGTGGGAACCTGGTGGAGGGGGGAAGAAATGAGGAACCTTTGTAATAATATGAACAATAAAGATTGATTTAAAAAATATATATATATATATATATATATATAAATATATATAAATATATATATATATGTGTGTGTGTGTGTGTGTGTGTGTATATATATAGCCAAAACAGGTTTGGCTCAGTGGTAGAGTGTCTGTCTGCAGACTGAAAGTCCCGGGTTCGATTCCGGTCAAGGGCACATCCCCGGCAGGGTGTGCAGGAGGCAGCTGGTCGATGTTTCTCTCTCATCGACATTTCTAGTTCTCTATCTCTCTTCCTTCCTCTCTGTAAAAAATCAATAAAATATATATATTTTTTTAAAAATTTATATATATGGTATATATTTTAAGGGCCAATTTAAATAAGTTGGATTATACCTAGTAGTAGTCCCAGGCCCACCTTAATTCCGTGATCCCCATGAACAAGTCACCAGCATTGCTGGCCAGCAGTCATCTGTGTGAGATGAGACCTGACCATTAAGTTGTTTATGTCCTTCCCCGAGTCTCTACTTGGGGGAGCATCATCTCCTTTGTACCTGTGAGGAAATGATTTTAGAGTTAGTATCCATCGGTGCTTGCTGTGTACCTGGTCCCCCTCTAACTCTAGATGGGTTATCTCATGTTTCTCTGGAAGGAAATACACCAACATGCCCATACCGGCTGTTGTGTTTTTCAGGGTATGTATTTCTTTTCTTTATTTCCCATAGATTATATTACTTTGCAGTGGAAATAAATGCAAAGAGTACAATTATTGAAAGTAATAAAGACTGACAAAGTGCTTTGCAATTTTTAAGCATTTCCCACATGACCTTATGCGTTTAATACTTCCAGAAACCATATGACACACTTGGTTTATTTTGCAGTTGAATTATTTCAGTTGAAAATGTAAAGTCAGCTTGATTGCCTGAAGTCACACAGTTACTAAAGAGCTGAGCCAGGAATTAAATTCAGGACCTCAGACTCCCAGACTCTCTACACCAAATTCCCCTTCGCTCTAACGTGGGCTACATCCTGGGAAGCCACACCTCGCCAGATTTGAAAGATAGACTCTTCACATAGGTGAGGGTTGACTTTCTCTGTTCTTAAAGTGGATCTTGCTTGACTAGCGCCATGTATCACATATTTTCTCCCAAACAGCTCTTTCTCCAGGATTTATAAAAAATGTGGCGGTTTCCAGAGTGAACTGCATGGAACCTCTCCATAGAGGCAGAGAGCTCCTGTCTAGGAAGGCAGAGTGCAGGGCTGTTTCCTTGGTGTCCTTGGAAGATGCCTAAAGGGTTTGGCCTTGTCTGAATAATGGGGAGAAATGATTAGATTTATACACTTTTTATACAGGGACTTCTATAGTCCTCAGGACCCCTAGGCTTACAATAAGGTTTCCTACCTTACTTTTAATAGTACTTTACAGTGTTTGCCACTGTCCCACATCAGCAGCTAGATTAATCTTTACAACAACCTGCTAAGACGACCACGAAGAGGTTTTCTGTTTTAGAAATGGTCAAAGCGAGGCTGCACACACCGGCAGTGGCAGTGCTGTGCTGCCCACTCCCCTCAGGCCCAGGCCCCTCTCCTTTTTGCCTCCTCAAAATTCTCATCCATGCCATTGATTATGTGGCTCTGTGGTCTTTTACTCTTCAGTAGTCTGATTTAATTGTGAATTTTATTTTAAGAAAGAAAACTGATTTCTTCTGCTTCATCTTCTTGCTCTACTAATAATGAATTCTGCAGGTCACTTTATCCTCAGCAGTGGTGAGCCTGAATTTCAGTAAAGCTTCTACTTAGCTGGTGCATTCACATGTCAAATATTTAACTCAGCTGTCAGCTTCTTTGCATTTACTGTGCTTTCGATAATACATGTATTTTGATGGCCTCACATTAATCCAGCCTGTTTGAGAAGGGGAAAAAAACACAGATGTGATTTACAGAGGGGTCAGGTTCTTCACAAACACTAAATGAATTGTTATCTTACTCTTGTTTTAATCAGAATATGTGAAAATTAAAGTCATGTTATTAGTTCTTTAAAAGAAAAAAGAAGCCAAAGAATAAGCTTAGATCCATTAGTTGCTTTAAGAACGCCTGATATGTGCCAAATGTTCTAGGCACAGGAACATAGCTGCCAACATGGCAGGCAATGTATTTGCCTTCAGGAAGTTTCTGTTCTAGAGAGCAGACAGATGGACGTGTTGGGGAGGCCTGGGCTATGGGAAAGGCTGGGCCGGGAAGTGGACATGGCCCTGGGGATGTGGGTGGTCAGAAAGGTCTAACCTCTGTCACATCTTATCTACGCTGTGGCATGGAAATCTGATTTCCATCAACTTTTTTTCCCCTGTTAATTTTTAGCCTCAAAGTAAAGTATACTTGACTTTGTACTCAGTGAGAAACCAGCTTATAGTGATTAACCTTGTTCGGTGGCATTCTTCAGAGGATATTAGGGACTACTATTTCAGCAAGTCTATATTTATACTTTTTATACATTGGAAGTCCCCACAAGGCTTCCTACTATTTAAAAATAATAACAAAAAAGGATCCACTTTTTAAAAAGAAAACAAAAGGGAAAGAGAACAATGGTTTAAGAATTATTTGTTAGAATATTGTCTTTGTGTGTTTCATGTATTTTCTAAAATGATGGTATTTGCTCCATAAGTTTGGGGCAACCTTAACATTATTTTGTATTTCCCTCCTTTAAACACTGGAAATAAAATATGTTTTTTACCAACCCGCTCCCAGGAGCTGTAGAAAGTCGCCAAGGAGGCCTCCATCAAAACCCCTCCCTCACTGAGGTCTTCTCTCAGGACCTAAACCAGCCAGCATCGCTTTTCTGTTCTAGGAGATGCAGATGGTGCCTGGGACTTCAGGGGACTCCTTCAGGATACAACATGTTTTCTTTTCTCTATAGGTGGCAGCACAAAGACAGAAAAGAAACAAATGACTGCAAATCCACTCAAGACTTGGACGCTTCTCGTGTAATTTAAAGACTCTCTCAAAGGGCTACGGCTTTTACTTCTGCACTGCCTAGAAAATCACCAGGAGCCAAACATGTACATTAAAGACATAACCACACATGCTCTATTTCTTCGATCAGCTGCATGGTGGCACTCCCAGAGTGTGAGCCTGTCTGTAATCTGCAAAATTTAAGGCACATCACCCCTCCACCCAGACCTGTCCCATAAAGGTGTGGATTGTTACAGTAGAGCGCTTCAGACTTCAAAATATCGGGAAAAGAAGGCTCATTGTGAAATTCAGGTCATTTCTTAAGCCTGACCACCTTGGCCTGTTCTGCTTTCTTGGGCTTAGGCAGGCATGTGGTGGATGTGTGGTGACCATGTGTGACCATGCATACATGGTGATTGTAAGTGCTAGATTCTATGCTAAAAGCTTTGATGGACTGATTTTCTACCCTTATTTTTTTTAATTGCTGCTTCTAATTCATAACAATACCTGAACATGTGCATTTTATTATCTGCTAGAGTTATAAACATTGCTTCATTTCTAAAAGATTTATCCAGTATGTGTATTATTACTTTTTAGAGTGAGGGCATAAGATATGGGGGAAAGTTGGAAGTAGATGCCAAAAAGTAATTTCGTGTGGGGAGTTCTGACACATAGTGAACATGTGTTACCCGGTAGTGGGGATGGAGGTTGTGCAGAAATGTTCAGGGGTTTGAGCTGGCTCATCCACTTGACATGCAAGAGGAATGGAGCAGAAGCCACACCGGTGATCCCAAAGCTCTTCTTCAGGAAATAATTTTTGTTTCTGATTATCTAACACCATCAAGTGGTAGAACCTGGTTCTGGAAAGTACTCTGTAGTTTTTTTACACACCTCCTTTCACACATACAATTTTTTAATCTGGAGCAACTTTTAACATTCTGTGCTTCTGTAGTTGATAAGTGAATTCTCTCCAAAAACCCAATTCTGGGAAGTCATTTGTGGAATTTGGGATATATTACAGGCTTTCAAGAGCACGTGCTTCCCAGAAATTACCTGTTTCGAATCTAGGCCATTTGGGTAATCAAAAGCCTGACACATAGTTCTATATACAGATGTGGAGTTAAAGTTTGGCTTGTGTCTTCACCTGGCACAGTCCCAAACACTGCCCTTGCAGGTCTCTGTATAGTTAGGCCCACAGCAAGTGCCAACACTGGAGTTTTCCTGCTCAGTATGTGGTGAGTCCGTAAACAAACTGGACCACATCTCAAGCAGGAGAGCTGCTAGTGCGATAGCTGTCCCTCATCTCCCTCCTCCAGGAGGACTTACCTGTGGGAAACCTCGGGGTGGCACCATGCTCCCACATGTGTGAGGCTCCCCCAGGTGAGAAGGCTTGCTGGGACAGTCCTGCATCTTCTGCAGGCTCCATTTATCAACGGTGTCAGCCCTCTGCCGGCCTCTCTCTGATGTTAGGATTCTTCCATGACAAATACGTACTACTATTATGTTAATACAGGAAAATAGTTAATTTATGTCATTAGTTTTTCTCAAAGTTATAATTTAAAAAAGTCTTACATCTCATTTAGTAAATTTCTTGGAGAAAGAATCTGTTTTACTGTTCTGGGCTTGGTATTCAAGTGGATGCTGACCAAGTACTATCAGTAATCAAATAATTGTTCTTCTATCCTCAGACACTTAAAGGTTCCAGACCCCTGCTATTGATTCCTTGACTTCCCTTTCTTGGTCAAAAAGATGTATTTTGCTTTAAATTGTGTGTGTTTGACATGAGTATAGATGGTGAAGTGAATTAATTTTGCTTTGAAGATTTACTAGGAGCCTTAGAGATCATGGCAAATACTCTGGGGTATTTTACCACCATACCTGAGAAGTACTGTTCCTGTCTATAAAACTCAGGTGAGACAAAAAGCAGGACTGAAGGAAGAAGCAGGAAATAAGGTTTCACATTTGTTACTATGCAGCCTTTGCTGTTGTTGTTTTTTCTTCTAGCAGATAGTGACCAAATTGTTCAACTTTACAACAATAACTGAGTCGCCGTGCGCGTGCGCGCGCACACACACACACACACACACACACACACACACACACGCACACACACGCACACACACACACACACACACACACCCAGCTTCCCGTGAAACCTGTTGCTGAAGCAGGCTCCTCCCCACCATCTCTGTGCCATGCCACACGGAGCCCCAGCCCTCCACTGTTACAGCCACATACAATAGGTCCTCGCTGCATCCTCCCTACTCTGGCTACATGGCCTTTATTTACTTTTACTTTAAATAATAAGCCTTTTTATTTTTTTATTTTATTTTATTTATATACTAGTGGCCCAGTAAACAAAATTCGCACAGGGGGTGAGGAGGGAGAGTGTTCCTCAGCCTGGCCTGTACCTTTTCCAATCTGGGACCCCTCAAGGGGTCCACAGAGATCAGGCCTAAACTGCAGTCAGACATCCCTCTTGCAATCCAGGACCACTGCTCCTAACTGCTCACTTGCCTGCCTGCCTGATTGCCCCTAGCCACTCTGTCTCGGCCCCACCACCATGGCTTTGTCTGGAAGGATATCTGGAAGGTCTCCTAGTCTAATTAGCATATTACCCTTTTATTAATATATATATATATATATATATATATATATATATATATATATACATATTATTGATTTTTTAAAAAAAATTTTTACAAAGAGGAAGGGAAAGAGATAGAGAGTTAGAAACATCAATGAGAGAGAAACAGATCAGCTGCCTCCTGCATACCCTCTACTGGGGATGTGCCAGCAACCAAGGTACATGCCCTTGACTGGAATCAAACCTGGGACATTTCAGTCTGCAGGCCTACTCTATCCACTGAGCCAAACCGGTTAGTGCTAAGCCTTTTTATTTTATAATAGTTCTAGCTATACAGAAAAATTGGGGAACACAATTTCCCATATACTCTGTAACCAGTTTCCCCTATTATTAACATCTTACATTAGTGTGGTACTTTTGTTAACATTAATGAACCAATACTAATACATTAAAATTAACTAAAGTCTGTACTTTATTCAGATTTCCTTCATTTTTACCCAGTGTCATTTCCCCCAGCATCACATTCAGGATATATTACACTTAATCCTCATGTCTCCTTAGGCTCCTCTTGGCTGTGACAGTTTCTCACACTTGCCTTTTTTTTTTTTTTTAAATCTTTATTGTTGAAAGTATTACATAATTCTCCTTTTCCCCCACATTGACTTCTAGCCCACCCCCACCCTTCACCCCAGACATTCACCACCCTACTGAGTGTGTGGATGGATTGTGCATATATGCATACAAGTTCTTTAGTTGATCTCTTCCCACTGACCCTCTCCTGCCTTCCCTCTGAGATTCAGTTTATTTTGTTCATTAGCTTCCACATAGGAGTGAGATCATGTGATACTTGTCTTTCTCTGACTGGCTTATGACTGTGAGATTGCTTTTCATCAAGCCCTCGCTGGTTCCTTATGCCCTGCTCTTCCCTCACCTCTCATCTCCCCTGGTTCACCATCTGGAAGTCTTAGGGAAACTCCCCTGAAATTCACGGCCAGGGCCGACCTCCCTGTGTGAGCTGTCCTGGCACGCTGCCCCTCCCTTCCTGAGGCCGTCACAGAGACGTGTTTCTGTCTGCAGGGAGAGTGATTGGATGGAAGTCCATTCCTCTCCTCAGTGTCACGGAGCAGAGCTTCCAGAAGGCAGAGACCATTTCAGCTTGCCATTCATGCAGAAGACCTAACAGTGGGGCAGAGAGCTGTCATTGTCTGCTTGGGGAACACAATTTGGCCAGTGGCCCTGAGAACTTGGCTGGTAAACAGCTCTTTGCACGGATGTGATCAGAGTGGCCCACTGTGTCTAACCTGCTTATACAAACAATGCGGTTTATACTGAACACCTGCTTTCCTTCTGGGATCTGGACATTTGTAACGTGCTAGGCAGAGGGTGCCGGTGTGACCAGGCCCCAGGGGAAACCTCAGGCTGGAATCTCTACTGGGCCCCGGGCAGAAACACTACACACTACATGCATATTGCTGTTGGGGTGCACTCTGCGACCCTCACAGGAGGGAGAGGGCATAAGGAAGGTTGCGCATGATTTCTCCAGATCCCACTGGTGTCTTTTTCTCTTATGATTTGTCTGTGTATCCGCACTACATACCCCACTGTAGTAAATCTTAGCTGTGCTGACTCCCACAGACTCCTTATAGAATACATTCAAGCGTGGGAGTGGTCTTGGGGACCCTCAATGCACCATCATATCCCCAAAACCTTGTACAGTATTTGGCCTTTAAGAAGTGGTTCATTGCCTATCTGTTGAAATGAAAATGAAAATGACTTGAGGACTAAGACTAAATATGTCCTGTGGAAATTCTCAACAGAACTAAGAAATACTATCATTTATCAACTACATCCTAATGACCCCAAAAAAGAATGTACATACTTCTGATAAAGGCAGAATTAAAAAAAAAAATAAAATATATATATATATATATATATATATATATATATATATATATATATATATATATATAAAATAAAAAGTAAAAAAATCTATCAGAATTTCTTTCACAAAGATGAATCTGTATCTGGGCTGGGGGAGGAGACAGCAACACCTTCACTCTCTCCCACAGAAGGCTGCCCTGGCTTTCCTGCCCACCCCCACCCTCCCCACCACCACCTTGCAGTGTTGGCCAGTCCCATGTATAGTGACACCCAGTGTCCAGAGCTTTGAGTGCCTCTCCACTTTGGTGGGCCTTTGGGATCACCTGGAAGGTTGTGTGTGTGTGTTTAAATATTGTTGCAAGTAATAAAGATTTCCCCTTTTCCCCCCATTGGCCCCCTCTCCTCGGCTCCCCTCTCACTAGGCCTTCACCACACTTTTGTGATACTGGGCCTCAGCCCCAGAGATTCTGATATAATTAGTCTGGGCACAGGGACTTCATAGTGCAGCCCCTGCCGACACTCCACCCGCC